ACACACACACACACACACACACACACACACACACACACACACACACACACACACACAATCCGGTCTTTAAAATATTTTTAGATTCAGTATTTCAGGAAAGACTTTTATGTCCACTATACACTGAAGAAAGGAAAACTCCAGTAAACCCAAAAGAAGAGCAATGTGGAAACATCTGTGCTTCATCACACAGGCAGGAATGCAGATTAGAAAGTAAACCTCAAACAGCCACTGTGCAAAAATTGCAACACCTGAAAAACATCTGAGCCGTGAGTGACAGAAGCGTCTGCCCATCACAGATGTTCATTTTTTATGGAATGACAGAGGTTTGTGTTGGAGACATGACAGTTTTTTTTAAAAAAAGAAGATCTGTTAACTTGCAGCTCAGAGTTTAAATGAGTGCCAATCTCTGCACTCTGAGGGAGAATTTACAAGAAAATTACAAAGTATTTTAGTAGAGACACAACTTGTGTAAGAAGAGAAAAATGTCCATATTTAAATGTATACGCTTGAGAAGAGTTTGGAAAAATTCTGGAAACTATAAACAACTTCAAATGGACAGAATGCATCACAGTCTATGCTGAATCCAAAATATATTTAAAAAATGCAATTGTACTAAACTATTAAAGACAACAAAACTATTAGCAGTCCTATTTTGCTTAAATGATGAATGATGCTTCTATTGTTAAGTATATTCAGCAAGCAACAAAGAGGGATGAATTTTCTCATTGATTTCATTTCGGTTTCATTGTCCATGAGGTCATTTTTTTGCTGTTTTTTTTTTCTAATATGTTCGACATACAATGCTCTGTTACAAAAAGTCAGAACACATTCTTCCCAGTCGAGTTGCACATTTTAAAGGGAACCCCGATTAGTTGTAACATTAGACTTTATATGATAAACATATACTTTAACTGAAAAATAAAGACTGTAAAAATACTGTAGGATGTTCAGTTTTTATATTTTTTAAACTAAAAGTTTAAAAATATATTACAAGGACGGGACCATTTTATTTACATGCAAAGCATTCTGGGTAAATGATGACATCAACTAGGTCATCGGCACGAGGCTGCTAGCGAGCTATGTCCAACCTGAAGGTTAATCTTGGACAATATCTGATGATCGACTCCTTTAAATGAAACCAGAGAGCGTTGACAGACAGGAGAATGTAGAAATGACTCAGCCTGGAACTGAAAATATGGATGGAGGACAACAGAGCTGCTTCACAGAAGAAGAACCCCAGCTTAGCCTGTTAGCGTTAGCCCCGACGCTATCACCATATATATGCATTAGTTCAGCGCTACACATTCTCCTCTTGTCACTGAGGTCCTCCATCCACGTGACAGAGAGGGGAACGCAAAAATGACTCAGCCTGTAACTGAAAATATGGATGGAGGACAACAGAGCTGCTTCACGGAAGAAGAACCCCAGCTTAGCCTGTTAGCTTTAGCATTAGCCCCGACGCTAACAACATTTACATGTATTTAGCTCAGCGCTACACATTCTCCTCTCGTCACTGCGGTCCTCCATCCACGTGACAGAGAGGGGAACGCAAAAATGACTCAGCCTGTAACTGAAAATATGGATGGAGGACCTCAGTTTAGCTTGTTTGGCGCGCTAGCGCCGAGCTAATACATNATAGAATACTGACATTAAATGTTTTCCTATGTAGGTAAAAATCTGTTTACCAACCTGTTAAAATACACCAGAATGCAGGAAATGGTCTACTTCTTTCAAAAATTTCTGGAAGAGGACCCCCAGACCCCCCCACTAGTGGGTCCCCCCAACATTACAAATACTTCTGATGCTACTGAAATATGTAACAATGTAAGGATAACTTATGTTACTCTGTGTGTAAAGATACAGAACAAGTTAGAAATGGACTGTTGCAGAAGTGGAGATAGTTTTTGTTCTTGTTTTTTGTCTCTGCACGTCACAAAATTTGTAATATTATCCGTAAAATTACAAATTAAACGTATGTTGTCAAATCCATAGTTTTATATTGCCATAGTTTTCAAATAGACATTTTTACAACCACATCATAAAATTTCTGTCATAGATATTAGTTCTGGTGTGCCACCCCAGGTTTTTCAGTGCCCCCTCCCCCACTTGGCCCCACCTAAAAAAAAAATTCTGGAGGCACCACTGGCTGGATCCTCATGAGTATGTAGCCCAGCTGGGCCACATGGGCCACATCCTTCATAGTCCAGGCAGGCTGCATAAAGCTGCTGTGAAATGAGACGGTCTAGCTTCGGCTTGACGTACGTTTACATGACCACGCACTACCCCGTTACCATAGTGATCAGTTTCATATCAGACTTAGAATGCATTTGGACGTGTATCTATCTGTTCACTGGAAGAGTAACTTCACAGTTAAAAAGTTACATGTAAATAAAAAAACATTAACAATTTGTGTTTAGTATCAGTACTTGTTGCATTTTATCTTCTTATTGCAGCATACATTTCATAAACTACGTTGTTAAACTTACTTTTAAAAATAAATTATTTGGTCTGTGATGAATTTTCAAACTACGGTAGACCAAGTTCTTTGAGGCAATGACATATGTGGCTGACAAATGCGCACTCACGAGGAAGCAGCTCCTGGCTTGAGACACAGACCCTGTGGTTCCCAAAGACCACCCTCAAACACCACCCTCTATCAGGTTTGGTGGTGGGACAGACCCAGGGCGCAGGCAGGTTTCAAAAATATAACAAAAAGATTTATTTAAATAACAAAAAGAGGGCTGATGGCAGCAAACTTACAATTAAACGGAGGGAACGCTCTGGCAGGGGATCAAGGAAC